AATCTTGTAAGTAATTCTCTGTGTTACAGGAAGCCAATGAAGGTGCCTTAACACAGGAGTGATATGGTCCCTAATTGGGCTTAAAGTGACCAAACGGGCAGCTGCATTTTGAACTCGCTGAAGTTTTGAAATATCCTTAGCTGGCAATCCATAAAGCAATGAGTTACAACAATCCAGCCTTGATGTTACAAAAGCATGAACGAGAATCTCAGTTGATCTAGATGTGTATAAGAGACAGGGATCAAGGTACTTCCGGATACTCCAAATTCTACGAATTGACTGAAGCCCGGCTTTACAGATGTTGTGTACCTGATTAGACATACTAAGGGAAGAGTCCATAACAACTCCAAGATTTCTACAGGACAACGAAGGCTCAATGAATGCGTCTCCTATTTTGATAGAAGGAGTCCAGCGAGCAGGCTTAAAACATGATGAAAAATGAATGAGTTCAGTTTTTGCATCATTCATTATAAGGTTGTTGGACTGACACCAAGATCGCACTTTGGCTATGCACAATTCTAGTCTACTGACAGCAGCATCGCGCTGATCTGGATGGAAAATAACATGGAGCTGCGTATCATCAGCATATGCCATACACTTCACATCATGTGAAGCAATAATGTCAAGCATCGGAACTGTAAGAATAAATAAAATTGGCCCAACAACCGAGCCTTGGGGGACACCAAATGTAAGTAAAGTGGGATTTGACATAACATCCTTGATAGCAACAGACTGAGACCTATTCTCTAGATATGATGCAAACCATTGGTGGGCGATACCAGAGGATAGACGGTTTAGTAACCGCTTATGATTGATGGTATCGAAAGCAGCACTAAAATCCAAAAGGACCATTAAAACCTCATTATGGTTATCAAGTGCAATCTGAATATCGTTCTGGACATAAAGAAGAGCAGATTCCACACTATGATTTGGTCGATAGGCCGATTGTCTAGAAGCGAATAAACCATTGCTGTTAAGATAAGATTGCAGCTGATTGGATGCCACCCTTTCGATGACCTTCCCAAGGAATGGAAGATTGGAAATAGGTCGAAAATTTGAAAGTTCTTTAGCATTCAATGATGGCTTTTTCAACAAGGGAAATGTTGGTGGCTTAGATATTGTTTGCTGTAAAACTACCGGCCGCCTATCTGTATTAAATGGGGACGACGCAGGATAGACGATTACTGGAGACGACTCTTGCATAGGAATTGGTTGTGCCGTGTAAGGTGTTCTTACTGGTTCTGGCCTTGGAGTAACTGCGAATCGAACTGCATTTCTTTAAAGACGGTGATCCAGTTGGTATTTGTGGCAGATATCTTTTTGGTCGGCTCGTTTGCTGTTGTACAGCAGGACGGTCATTATGTGTATTTGACACTGATATAGTTAAGTCTCCCATATTGACGTGCGAAGTGTAGTTCATATCGTGATCATGAGGCTGTATTTGCTGCCTTAAGTGATTAATAATGGTGTAAGTAATGGTAGAGTTCATTGAATAGTCTGAAGCATGATCACAAGGATACTGGTGTTTGGCCATTTTGATTCCGTGTAGCTTGTGGGCGAGTCGTGGGTGCCCTGGCAGTGTTGTATCCCTTTTTTTCCTAAACGTTTGGTCTTCACAGCAAATCAGTACTGTGCAAAGCCCCACATTGGGCGCCAAAATTATGTTACGGTTATTCTGCAGTTGATGGATACGATCTACTGTGGGGGCGTTTATTCGCGTTGTTGCACACTAAAATAATACAGACTTCGCTTGACTTGTAAAACTTTGATAGCAAACTTTAATTCTTGTATCTGTATAAATGGATTTAAAGGGAAAACTATTGATTAGTTTTCTCAGATGATAATGAAGATTATGACTCGGCAACAACATGTGATAGAATGACAGTGTTGCTACT